GACAAAAATCATGTCGCAGTATCTTTCCATGTTCTAGTGGAAGATTCACTCTCGTCTTGCACATTTCGAGAGAAGTGGAACGAGGCAAAACGAGAGTGAATCTTCCGCTAGAACATGGAAAGATGCACCGCCATGAGGCCCCAAGGATGACACGCATAGGTCGGGAAATCTGACAAAGGAAAAAAAAAAAGAGAAAAAAAAAGAAAAGAAACTGGGTTGTTGTCAGCACGTGCAGAGATGGAGGAGAAGAAGGGAGAGCCAGAGGAAGGGTATGAGAACCCCCCAGCACGAGCCTCAACAGTCAGCGTGCTTCAGGGCGTGCACCCCCCCTATGGCTGGGTTCTCATACCCTTCCCTAACCCATGCTAACCAACTAACTCTAATCCTAACATGCTGAGCCTCCTAAAACTTACCTCTTGTTGTGTTAATCTTGTACCGGACTAAAAAGGACATAATGGTTACATCTAATGTCCCATTTTTTGGGATAGCCGTGTTTTACACAAACCCCCTACACACACACAAACCCCCTATACACACTCTCACACACACACACACACACACACACACACACACACACGCGCGCGCGCGCGCGCGCACAGAAGAAGAAGAAGAAGAAGAAGAAGAAGAAGAAGAAGAAGAAAAAGCACAGAAGAAGAAGAAGAAGAAGAAGAAAAAGCAATTACCTTGGCAAAATTTTTAGGAGGACTCTAACTCCATATCAGTCATGAAAAAAATAAAAAAAAAAAATCCTGCCTTTCTTTTATTTATTTTTATTTTTTTCTTTTTAACCGATTTTCGTTTTTCACTTTTCACAAATCGTAAATGAAGTCAAATTCAAAAAAGCAAAAAATGGGGCTGTAGGGCTTTCGAAACCCTACAACCCCTTTTTTTTTTTCACTTATTTTTTTGCCCCCAAAAAAATATCCAAAACATCGGGCTGCAAACTAGGCCTGGCAGCCGCGGCTGCGGCCGCCGGCTTTTTCGGCCGCGGCGGCCGAATTGCCCATGGCCTAGGCCGCGGGCGTCACAAAGCTTCCATGGGCTCATTTGAAGGGAACCTTCTTGTTGAGCTCAGCTTGCTAGAGAGCCAGCCTGAGGGCAAAAGAACGCGGCAACGCGCAAAAGTAGTAATGAACCAGCTTCTTCAATCATGGTGATGGGGGAACGCATTGGCTCGGAATCTAGAACCCTGGTCTGCCCAACTATCGGATCCAGGTGCATGCACTCTGGAGGCTCAACACAATAGCAGTCTGCCCAACTCTGAGAGTCAATCCCCTTTGACTTCTGAGCTGCTCCTTGGACTGGACAGATAGAAAATGGCGTACCCTGAACAGTGGACCTCATGCAGTGGAATGACAAACCTGGAGTAATTCTTTACAGGGTAGGACCCAGCTCAGCCAGCTGGCATTTGGGGGGAAAAAAAGGGAAGTACGTTTACGCCACATCAGAGTTTCATAGGGGGCAAGAAAAACATGCGTCAGCGAAGAAACCGGGCGCCGCGCGTTTAAGAAGGGCAATGAAAGTACTACGACCGTGGTGTCAGGCCGGGTGTCATGTTCACAGGGGTCGGTCGTGGTGTCATATGTTGAAAACAAAAAGGGAAAAAAAGCCCAACGGATTCATTTCGACCGAAATTGCCGTTTCGAAGTCGGCACCTATTTTTTTTGCCGCCACTTTTGCATTTACGAACTCAAAACGCTGCGTCCGCCGTTGTTTCCCCAAAAAAACACGAAGGCGGGAATATCTGGTGTTCTGTACTGTGTGGTGGTCAAGCCTGCATGGAATGGAACCGGCGCTCTGGTGGAGACTGGACAGGAATGCAATAATTAAGATTGACTCCAGGAATGGATTGGAAATTTGTGGCAGCACTATTTGCAGTTAGACTGAACAGGCTATTCATTATAGGATGGAGAATCTCAGTCATGATGCTTTCAGAGTCTGTGGGACTTGCTCCACTGTACAACTAGTACATTCTAGAATCTCGTAAATGCATCTGAAGTGCTGAAGATTTGGCAACAGCTGGTAATGGTCAGAATACACTCCAAGTCTTGATCAGTCTGAATGCATGTGGTCCACGCTACTGTTCAGGTACCTCATTTATAATGTTGTGAATTGGATCAAAGACCTCACGTTGTGGAGTGCCTCTTTTGTGAAGTTCAACCTGTAATACAATAAAGGGGGAAACTATGCGGGAGTCACAAAAAATGAGTTATAATTGCACTATGGGCCAACATACATACAGATTCAAATTGCAGTTCGGGCAATGTATACAACCCAGCTTTCGGGCCAAGTAGGGTGCCCGAAGTGCAATTGCAAACTGTATCTTGGCCCATACTGCAATTATAACTTGTTTTTGTGACTCTACTGACTCTACTGAAGTTACCCCTACAATAAAGGCAAGCTCTCTTTTCAAAAAAAAAAAGAAAAAAGAAAAAAAGCAAGCTCTCGTGCTGAATTGGATCAATTGAAATTTGAAAGACCTCACGATGTCATTGTGGAGTGCCTCTTTATATATGTGAAGTTCAACCTGTAATAGAATGAAAAAAAAAAAAAAAAAAAAAAAAAAGAATGAAGACACTCACTGCATAAAACTGTGGACTTTAGAGGAGTCCATCTGCTCAGGCCATAGTCGCACTTGTAGGAATTTCCTGAATGTATAGGGCTGCAATTGTGGCGAGATCTGGATGAATCTGACTGCAATAGTGCCACCAGAGTTTAGTAGAAAAGATCTGGATGAACCTGATCTGCAATAGTGCAAATGTGAGGTATGCCCTCCATTGGGGAGAAGTGAGTCCTGCGCCCTATCTGTGGTTGCACTTTTTGAAGACAGTCACTCTGAGGTAAAGGCTCTCAAGAATCCATAATTATTCAAGAAAAAGAAAAAAGAAGGAAAAAGAAGAGATCCTCCAGAATCATATTGAAGGAGGAGTAAGGGGCCTTGTTGCACAACTGGCCATCGGCTGACATTTTCAATGCATCTGGTCAACGACATTGTCTGGATGCGTTCACAATCTTGGCCTATGGCAAGTGGTGCAAGTAGGTGTGGAAAGTGAACTGTCAAAGCTTGGGGATCCTCAGGAGAGTCGAGGATCTAGTGTCAAAGGTGTCACCCATCTTCCATTGTGGTGCACGCAAGTTGCATAGATTCATCTAAGCATCGAAGCTTCGAAGCTCAGGGTCCATGACAACACGAGCCTTCAATTCCCACCTGTTTATCACCATTGCCGGTCTTTGTGTTAGCCGGACCCCCACTGACGGCCCCAACCCTATACCCTAACCATTAGGGGCAAGGGGCAACATGAAATCCCCCCTTCACAGAGAGAGGAAAACTATGCTTGCAGGGGTCCCCTCTAGATAGTCTTAGGAGTAGGTAGTGGAAGGTAAACAAACAGAAGTTGAGAGAAGAATATAGACAGTTGTGATCACCCCATTAAAAAAAAAATAATAATAATAATAATAATAAAAAAGCAAGGACTTGCAATGGACGATCTGTAGTTACAGCAAGAGCTGCCAAGTTGTGACAGCCATGGTAACCGTTGAGGGAAATGATGGGTATATACTATATACATTAAATTGTCAAACCACCAGTACCTTTCCCATATATTGACTGCGGCCGTGAATTGACCCTGCGGCGCCTGCTTGATGCAAAAATATGAACGGACGCGGATGTACCTGGCCGCCGCCGCCAGCCGTTTTGCGGCGGGCCTGCACCTCCGTGTTAACCGCCGCGCTATTGTTTTCCAAGTTTGGGAACTTGAAAGGTACTGGCGCTTTATGTCTGCCGTGATTCTATGAAAGGACGTTGATATGCCACAACTCCACTTAAAATTTACAGTTTTCCAAAGGATAATACCAGCCTTGGGCACTGGGCCCGTACCAAAAAAAAAAAAAAAAAAAAAAAAAAAAAAACAATGGCTGTAAGACTCTTGAAATCGTGAAAAAGTCGTCTATCCTGGCCGCGGTGGAAAGAGAACCACTAGAATTGAGGCTTTGCCTGCCTGGCTGCTCCATCTTTAGGTGGGTAGTGACACCTGCTGGAAACCGGGCCCAGCATCCAGTAGATACATCCATTCATTGCATTATTTATTGGAACCATGGTCGTTTCCCTTTCTAGCCTGGACCTCCGTCTTTCCCTCGGGGCCGGATATGACTCGAGGTGCACCCGAGGGAAACCCTTGAAATAGCATGGGCAAGGACCCTTGAAAAAAAAGCTGAGCTGCAGGCAGGCCACTCTCCGAGTCCAACTTCAGAGAGTGCGAATAGAGAGAGCCTCAGGGTTCTGACAGCTCTCAAAAAGATTGGATAGTAAATGCAGTGAGACGGGACTCTGGCTCTCGCCAATTTGTGAATTGAGAGTGGTCATGGTGGAGGGAGAGTCTGCTGCGAGACCCAATGTCAAGACTAAGGGCCAGACCCCACTGGCAAAAACGAATGGAATAAGTGTCTGAATCTGGACGTGTTTGTGGAGAGGTGCAAAAAACTGTAGTTGATCTGCTTTTCTGCATCTCTGCGTGGAACATGTCCTGATTCAGACACTTATTCCAATCCTCTTTGCCAGTGGGATCTGGCCCTTAGAGGTGGACCCCACACGTTTGCGGCAAACTCCTGGAAAAGCCGACCGGTTTCCAGGAAATGGCCGTCGAGCAATACGGGCATTTTCGAGACGAGACCCCACCGCGCCCGTTCGTTGTGGCGCCGCCGAAGGGATCGCTTTCCGTTTCGGGAAACTTTCCTTTTTTGTGAGTGCAGCACTCCGTTCGTTGGACCCTGGTTTGGACCCGGACATGCGCGGGCGACAAGCCCTGAGCGGCGTTAGAGCGACGACGTTGTCGCCCGGTACCGGGTCCAGTGGGCCAGTCTCCGTACCAGCGGGCATGCAAAATTTTTTTTTGAACTTCAAATTTCGAATTCGGCACCTCAGCTGTTTCGTCCCGCGGCACGGCGTAATCTCCTGTGTCACCCCTGTGTCCATCACCACGCGCTCTGTGTGCGCATCGAAGGGACTCCCACAGGTCGCTTCTGTCATTCCTCTCCATGGATCCCCCTTCTGTCCGCCATAGTGACGATGGGTGGGAAGATTCCTTGGTTGTGATGACGCTCCTCGTCGTGCAAATCCTGCAAGAGAGGAATGTTGCCGCCATGATGGTGTTGCAAGCAGCAGCCGCATTGCCTCTGAGTATACCAGGTGTGGGAGACAACATCGCCCTCATAGCAGGAGGTTTGTTGCACAACCATATCATGCAGTGCGCGGCATTGAAGACGCTCCATCGAACGGCGGAAAGGAGACGTGCGTTGTGGGTGTTGGAACGGAACGGAGGTGTGTGGTCGGATCTGCAAAAGGAGGGGGAACAGTATGACAGAGTTTCAAGGAGGTTATGTCGTCTTCCACCTGCAATGTTCCTCGAGGTCCTTGATCGCATAGGACCACACATCCAAAGGCAGGACACGAACTGGAGGCGTTCATTGCCAGCAGCATTGAAGTTTGCGTGTGCACTGGGTCGGTGGGCTATGGGGACGTACTACAGGCAGTACGGGCACTCACTTGGTGTGGGTTTGGCGAGTGCGCAGCGAAGCAATATCGACGTCGCGGAGGCACTCATCAAGGAATATGGCCACGTCATCGCCTGGCCTGAAGGTAGACGGTTGCAGGAAACCCTTGATGCTTTCGAGCGGAAAGGGTTTCCAGGGTGTGTGGGCGTCATCGACTGCACCCATCGCTACATAGAGAAGCCGAAGGGTGCGAGAGTTGAGTGTTTCTACGATAGGACAGGCGGGCACTCCATCGTCGCTCAGGTTTGTTGTGATCACGAGGGCAGAATCTTGAACGTGTTTGTGGGCTGTCCTGGCGCTGTGCACGACGCTCGTGTGCTGCGCCTGTCGCCCATGTACAACAACGTGCAAGAAGGGAGGGTGATTTTCCACAGCGGGGCGTGTACGTTGCGCGACGGCGGCGAGGTCGGGTACTACCTTTTGGGTGATGCGGGGTATCCTCTACTCCCATGGATCATGACCCTGGTTGGAGGTAGCGAGAGGACGACACTCCAACGACAGTATGATGACTTCCACACAGCAGCGCGCTCTATCATCGAGCGATGCTTCGGGAGATTGAAGGGAGTGTGGCGCAACTTCATCAAGCGTCACATCTGCAACCTGAAGACCCTGACCAAAGAATTCATGGCCGTTTGTATCCTGCATAACCTCATGATCGATGCACATGTCGTCATCTATCGAAGTTTGCTGACTGCGGAATCTGACAGTGAGGAAGAGAACGACGGTGTCGGGCGACCTAGGCGGCAGTGGAGACGACGACGCATCAACAGGCGAGACGAGGTGCACAACCGCGAGGAAGGATGGGGGTGGGATGACGCGTCGCTCGCTCACTCCACAGATGCCAGCAAAGCAATCAGGGATAGATTGATTGCTCATGTACACCACCATGCAAGAGTGCGTGGTGCTCCGCCATCCAATCCGTGGGGTGTTTGATGTCGTGTCTATCATCAGCTTTCCGATAAAGGGTTTATGATATAATATCGAACTCTCTCTCTCTCTCTCTCTCTCTCTCTCTCTCTCTCTCTCTCTCTCTCTCTCTCTCTCTCTCTCTCTCTCTCTCTCTCTCTCTCNAAAAAAAAAAAAAAAAAAAAAAAAAAAAAAAAAAAAAAAAGCCTAAAAATGCAGATAAATTGGCAAAAAATTATAGGATAGAGGATAACAAATGATAACAGCGAACCTCCTCAAAACTGTACAATCCTCAAATGACTCTTAAGAATCTAGAGGTAGACCCAACATAATGGATATGGAACCAGAAACAAAGACTCAATAGAATTAACCTGAAATTTAACATCCTACAATATACTACAAGCATGAGGTATAAATTAAAGAGAAGATCAGCATGCCCCAACCCAGTGATAACTGAGAGATGGTGGAATCACCTACAAGTTGACCCAGAAAATTTAAATCAGATCCAATAGAACCGAGTCACCACAATTCACCTGCCCAAATTCAAAAGTCTACAATGGCTTATTATCTACCTCACTGTCTTGCTAAATCAATGGCTAAATGTGAGAACAAGAAAAGAAGACAGAAGCCCATTTAAAGAACTTTGCTCCACATGCCAAGAGGGCCAGATAGAGGACCGCTATCACTGTTTCTTTAGATGCCTCAAGACACAACCCATATGGCAAAGAATCAAGAACATTTGGGAGAAAACAGTCAGTGGAGAATTCACTAATAATCCCATATTCCACTGGTATCTCAAACTTTCAAATTCGATGTAAATTGCCATATGGGACGCTGGCCCGGTTCCCAGCACGTACTTCTCCCCACGAATAGATTGGAGCCTTGTCCCCCCCCCCTCCCCAGGCCCGGTTCCACTGGTATCTCGGGCCTGGGCGTAGGGTCTGGGACCCAACCGGAAGCTACTGGAAGCTTCCAGCCAGGCCACACGCAGCATCCAGGGGGCTGCCACTTCCACAAAAGGAGTGAGGCAGCCCAGGCCAGGCATTCTGTCCAGTGCTGGCAATGCGGAAGTGCTGCTGCGCTCTTGCTTGATGCTGCGCTGCTGCCAAAGGCGCTGACGGGGTGCGTAGAGGGGCGCTGCAGGGCAGTGGGGCGCAGGCGGCCATAGTCGGGCTGCTGGGCGCCAGGGGGTACAGCGGGTGATCGGGTGGTCTTCAGGGAAGGAGGCGCTGTGTGGGGTAATCAAGGTCTGATTGAGRGKGACGAGATACGTACCTGGTGCATGAAGARAGGTYGGCTATGGAGTTGACAGTCATGTACATTGGTCTTCGAGAGTCGAAGTGAGCCTGTTGAGTGAACCAGCTGTAGGTAGGATAGTCAGGCAGAGTAGGATGGGCGTTGGGCGCCAGACAGAGAGGAGCGACTTTGGATACTGTGTTGCTGTGGCCTACGAGCTTGGACATTGGCTCATTATTTCATTGTATTTCTCTATATGGATGGTTTCTCGGTGCATTTCGTACTCTCTGCTTGGATACGACTACCTGGACATCTGTGTGATTTCGCAACTTGGTTTTCTGTATATCGTTCACACTCATATTCCTTGCAATTTGGTATCAGAGCTGGTTCGTGATTGCCGCTTACCTGGCACCGGCGACATTGTTACTTGGTGCGCTGATGATGCTTCATGTGCAGTAAGGATACTTTGGCGCTGATCGATTAGCGGGGCCTAGGTGGAGAGGCCGGCCGCTGAAAGGCTGCGGCGACAGCGGATGTGTGTATGATGATGAGAGTATGCTGACGTGGCATTTTGGCTGAGGTGGCACTGCATTGCGTTGTGGGTGGTACCGAGGCTAATGACCGGTCATCGAAATGCATGTCGGCCCAATTGGTGAGAAATCTGTGGTTGGGGGCAGCTATCACCAGGTACGTTGTTCCTATTCCTTATCTACCCTCTCAATCTCTTCTTACCGTGAGGAAGTGAGTCCAACTTGAGTGTCCTCTCTTTGGTGAGGAGTCATGTGCGCTCTACCTTGAGAGACGACATTCTTCTTGGTGGCGCATCTGGCAGGAGAGGGCGGTGCCTCTGAAGGGCCCTGGTCGAAGCATGGGTCACGGTCACCATCCCAACCCATGGGAGTAGTACACGCAGGCCATGCTGCTTTGTCCATTAAGGCTCTTTGCTGCGATGATAGAAGGGGTGTGCGGACTGACCAGTCCTACGGAGACGCTCCCAGACCATCTATAAACATTTCTGGTTGGGGTCTGAATTGTCCACTAGCTGTGATCGTCGTCCTGATTGTGACGTTAAAGAATTCTTGAGGACTCTCGGGGGCTGTCCTTAAATTGCCTCTTGATCAGCGAGATCCGTCAGACGTAAGGTTCGTTGCACGCGAGGGTAAACAAAGGGCAGGCTGGTCATAAGCATATTTCTTGGGCACAGGGGTGGGCCGTGGTTGCACACCTTAGACACCGCAGCTTGATGATGCTCATAGGTACGTTGGATACAGGGGAAGGGGATTCCAATTAAGAACTCTACTGATCAACACTATTTTATCCATTGTGCATACATCTGCTCACTGTAGTTTATTTTTATCTTGATTAGTTGGTTGACAGACTACTAACACCTAACAGACAACCTAGAGTAGGACTGTAACCTACCATTGTCAGTTCTTCTTAAAAGCTTCTGTGCAGAACTAGTCAAAGATAGAGGTAGACTACATATGAACAGTTTGTGTAGGTGCTGTTGATATCGCTTGACTAGTAGTCTAGTTAACTCGCCGGACACCAATTATTTTATTTATTTTTAGAACCGGTGTAGGGCCAAACCCTGGTAGACTTCCGAGCCTTGGTCGACCCCACTGCAGGTCCCAGTTGGCTCGGCCCGCCCACGCTCATGCTCAGGGCACGGGCCGTTCGTCTCAGGGTCACCCCCACCTAGTGCTTTGAGATGGATGGGGGTGGCCCATCGAGCGAGAGAGCTTTGACATTGGGGATGTAGCTCAGCCCTCGCGTCGGGTGGCAGTCTCGCTGGTGATTCCGCAAACGCTGATTTTGTTTTTTTCTTGGTTGTGTTTTCAAGCAAATGCGCCTTCCAATACGCAGGCAGTCCAACGGTTCTTTGAGAGTTCTTTTTCTTTTGTGCACAGGCTAAGCGTCATCCTTAGGCCACGCACCATTTCCCTAAACACAACAATCCTATGGCGTCATCGGGGTGTGGCAATGTCGTCTTTCCCCTCGCCGCTACGCACTCCTCGTATCACATATATTTCATCCATCATTATGGGAGCATGCCCCTTAGTCTTTTCGGGGCCCTCATACGCATGCACATGCCACTTCACATTCCGTTCAGCAAAAGTCCCACCCCTTCCTTTCATTCGCCCTCCAAATCTCATGCACAATGGTCTTTTTCATGGTTCAATTTTACACTAAGGGTCCCGTAGCCCCTTTGCCCCTTCTTCCCTTTTTCTTTGCCGCCCGGTTTCTCCCGGCCCGGTCCCGCTCAAGGCATCCCAAGACTTCACTCACCTGCACAATCCCACACAAAGGCAAAGACCGATACAATCCCCCATTGGGGTCGACAGATAGCCCTTCCCACATGCCTAACTTTCTTTTTCTTCGGCTTCTCTTTATTTTCCTTCCTTTGCTCAATCAATCCATCCTATTCTCATAGTCATCCAGTCGGGAAATGGTTGAGTCAAACTGACCTTGCTTTAAGTACCAACTTTGTCTAGTCCTCTCCCCTGACTCGACTCCTCTCAATTGCTCTCGTGTCGTTTCCTTTTCCTTCTTGGTGGCACAAGGGACCGGCAGCCCTTCCCTTGCCCAGTTACTTCGCCAAGCGAGGGCAAATTCTTTTTACCGTTCGTTCTCTGGCAATGTAACAAGCGGGTGGTGGAGGGTTAGTTATATGCCAAGTGGTGGAAGGGGGAGAGGGTAGGCTAGAGAGAGAGAGAGAGAGAGAGAGAGAGAGAGAGAGAGAGAGAGAGAGAGAGAGAGAGAGAGA